TTAAAAAAGTATCCAAAACAGTGGGGATCCTCTCTAAGATATGATACTACATGCCGCAAACTGCCCTTCTCACACTATACCATTCACTTATATATCCATACCTCACCTATGCTATCCGTGCTTGGGGTTCAACTGCAGCAACACACGTAAATCCAATAATAACCCAACAAAAAGCCACAGTAAGAATAATCACTAAATCCCATCCCTGGCAACACCCCCCCCCCACTCTTCATAGATCTAAACTTACTCCCTGTTCAGAACATCCACACTTACTACTGTGCAATCTATATCTACAGGACCTTAAATTCCAATATTAACCTTGACCTAAAACACTTTCTTGATAGTTGTGACAGGATCCACAGGCATAACACCAGACACAAACATCTCTATGACATTCCCCGTGTTCGACTAAACCTTTACAAAAATTCAATGTATTTCAAAGGACGTAAAATCTGGAACACCCTACCTGAAAACTCTAGAACTGCAGACACATTCATCACTTTCAAAACTACAGTTCGAAAACATCCACCCCGACAACTAACTACATGATAACCACCTGGTGATTCACAATTACACTCACTCACCCACTGACTATAAACCCAGAAATACTAATCTTAATCTTAAAATAATAAATCCTAACTAGTCATAAGTTTGCCTATGATACTCCAATATAGACACTTTGTATTGTGCCAAAACAAAAGCATTCATATTGTTAACTCACAAATTATGATGTAGTCACTTAGCCTTAATAGCATAATATGTAAGGATTTAATGTTAAGAATTAATCTAAGTCTGCTCAAAATGCCTAGCCAGGCTAGGTGTCCTAGTGGCTCCCCTCTGTAATTAGTATTATATAACATGTAAACCACACAATACCTAAAACCTGTAAACCCCACATTGTAACCCTTATAGAGAATAAACTTGAATTGAATTGAATTGAATTGAATTGAAAAAAACAGCTATGTGAGCAGTTCCATGTTGCTACTAAAAAAAAAAGCAGACTTTTTCACTGGACAGGACCCTAACACATCTAGAACCACTACTCTGAAGAGGGGTCTGGAGTAGCTGATGATGCCTTACTGTCAGTTGTATTAAGTACTGCAGGGTAAATCAGATCAAAGATGCATTACATAATACCTCAGTACTTCAGTACAGCCATTACCTAATGACAACATTGCATCGACATCAGTGCAAGAACCTCAGCCCAGTAGGGCCACATCATCTCTATGCACTCCTTTCAAACTCACTGACATGCACCAGCAACCAGAATTCAAAATATAAAATACGTATTACATATCCCTTGTAGCTTTTTCTTTTTTTAACACTTTGGCCGTTTCCCACCGAGGCAGGGTGACCCAAAAAGTATTTATTAAATATAAAACATCACTACATCCAACTACAGTTAAATTATTCTCATTCTTTTACAATTAAGAGACCTAAAAAAATTTGTTTGCCGTTTTTGGGGGGTTTGAGGAATGTAACCATATTTTTCCAACGAATTCTTCAGTTCATTTCACACTATTTTCTATTTGCATGCTATTTTCAAGAATGTATTTTCATACATTTTAACCCTTTCAGGGTCCGTCCCATAGATCTACGGCTTTATGTTGAGGGTCCAAACCGTAGATCTACGCCATGAGTTCAGCTCACTCTGATAAGCTGTGAGAGGTAAATTGGGCCTAGACATGAGATAATACATCTATGTGGTATATGTGCACCACATAAAACAAATCCTGCAGCACACAGTGCATAATGAGAGAAAAAAACTGAGACTGTAATTTTCAATTAAAACAGCAACTTTGCAGTGTTTTTTCATGTTTTTTATAGTTGTATTTGCAATTTCTTGGTCTCATTTTATAGAATGGAAGATATATTACAGAAATAGAGATGATTTTTATTGGTTTTACTACTGGAAATGACTTGAAACTGAGCTCAAAGTAGCAGAAATGTTAAATATTTGCCAATGTTCAAGAGTAAATAAATGGCCTTACATGTCTAATACATGCCAGTTGGCGAGTCTAATATACGTTCACAAATGTGCTGATATTATTTATACAGTTATTACAATATTGCATGACAGTAAATCTTCTATTTTTTGGTTTGAATAAAAATTCATTATGTGAATTAAAAATCAAAATGGAATTCATTTGTAAAGCCTGAAAACGTAACTAATGAACAGAGGAAATGTTAGTTTAGTGCCAGGAATGCCTGCATTGTTTATTCTGGACCCTATTTTGAAATTGGAATATTTTGAACTTTGCACTAAATTGGCCAAATTACCAATTTCCAATCACTTTATTTTGTAGTTGAAACAGTTGAGTTGGCAATTTCTTGTGCTCAATCGATAGAATAGAAGTAATACTAGTGAAATAGCTAAGAATTTGGTGGACTGGAATAAGGTAACTGGCCTAAAATGGGAGTCAAGGTCGGCAAAATCGCCAATGAGTAAATATCGCTGACACATCAAAATTCGCGAGAGCATAGTTTTGTCAATTTTCCATCAAATTTCCTACTTTTTGTTTTATTACCTTCAAAAAAAGATTCTCTACCATTTCATAAGAAAAAATAGCAAAATTATTTTTTGAAAATTCTTGGACACTGGTGCACACTTTGAAATTTGGCCTCTGGACCCTGAAAGGGTTAATACCGTATATGTTAAGCTCATTACCTTTATCACAAAAAAATGCACATTTAGAAGAAAACTTTAGATGGCATTTTGGTCCCTCCTAGATCATGATCAAGTTACAACTAAGTAAGAAAAAAGCAGAGAAGACCTGAAGTAATTATCTTATTTGTTTTATCAAATGTATAAGTTCATCAAGATGATGTGCAAAAGCATGAGTTTTTCCATGAAAGGAGTAAGAATACATAATGTCAACCCAACCCTGTAACACTTGTGTACCTTCTTAGGAGACAAAAATATTTATTTACTTATTTCATGCTGCACATAAAATGCTGTTAAACTCACAAGGCAAACACAATCAGTATTCAACAGTGCATTAACTGGGTATGTTTGAAAAGTTTTTTAAATTTTAAACCCGTAATGACGATTTGGGACAAAATGGACAAAAGCTGCATTATCAAAAAAACAATACTAGTGATTCTCTACACCCTTTGAAGCGCATTTCCCCTTTCCTTCTAATCTTTCTCCCAGTTCTCGAGTGAATAAGATAGGGGCTATTTACTTTGAGCATATGCCTGACCTTCCCCCAAAAATTTTTCACCTTTGAGATCACTGAAGTTTTACTTCCCCGCATGTGTGCAACACTGAAAATTTAATCGACTTGGGGCTAAACCCGCAAAAAAATTCTCACATCGTTTAGTCATATGATAGGGGACTCAAGCCTTGTACTAAATCAAGATTTTTTTTTGTATATAAAAAAAAAACATAATATTCCTGTTCAAATTTTAAAGACTTTTTGGCTCTGCTCAGTATTACTCACTACCTTATAACTGTTTAGTTGAAGTGTCAACACAGAATATACCATATTACACAACATATCATGCAATATACCATGATAGCACTAGGTAACAAGTGTACTGTAAAACTAGGGAAATTAATCCCATCTTCAAATATGCTATTAGTGCCCAAAGGCCTGTTTACAAAAGCTACCAGTTACTAATTAATTTTGCCATAATATTCATACCTGGTTACCTTAATCTACACTGAAATGATACCTGATACAAAAGATGAGGCTTGAAAACACAATACAGTAAGAGTGATGAGTTATAAGCTTAAGTACAGTACAGCATATCTGAACAAAAAACATAAAACTGCTCATAGGTTAGGCAACACAAAATGGCGTAGTAGCACTTTTTTTTTACATATCAGCCCTCTCCCAAAGAGGTAGGGTGACCCGAAAGAGGAAAACATTCATGATCATGCACTCAGTGTTCTGCCAAAAGTGTGGTGACATTACAGTGCAGATGAGCCTCCAAGCTGCAACATCTTCACCTTCTTTAGAGTGCAGGCACTGCATTTTCTACCTCTAGGACTCAAATCCAACTAATTAGTTTTCCTGAATCCCTTCATTAATTTCAGTTGCCTAGCTCACAGTCCCCAACAGCATATCAAACCATAAAATACACTAATACTACAGGATGAAAATGGAAGAACTGCATGGGCTGTGAACGTATTGGTGCAAGGCAAGCATATCACCCAGTGACATGTGTCTGTGGATCACAGCCTTTTCATGTAACTCCTCCCTCCCTCCCTCCCTCATATTCTTTCATTTACTTTAGTGTAAAATTTATTTGTATTGACAAGAATAGGTACATGTGGAGAGAAATGGTATTATATGCTGAGATAATGGACAAATTACTAGATAGAAAAAGAAGAAACTTCGTGTTTCTTCTTTTTCAGGTCACTGCCTCGGTGGGAGACAGCCAGTGTGTTTAAAAAAAATAACGGACAGAGACAAATGCAGCATTATAAGTAAGTATACATTTCACCCACACAGTAGGCTTTATGAAGTCACAAACCGATGCGACATGATAAGGATCACTGCGTGGGCAAAACATCAAAAATGGACTGCATGATAATGCATTTGTGCTTCTTTGTTCCTAGTCATACATGAAAATATGTTCCCTAGCACATGAATTGGCCATTAGTGTTCTGTAAAACATGACCTGAAGCAACAGTGGGGACCCACCACAATCTTGCAAAACCTGACATCATCTCTTAGAATAGAATTCATTTGTGGCAAATTTATGGCATGGGTAGTGTGCTCACCTCACATCCGCGTGTCAGCTGTTCATAACTTTAACAATTTACTCCTCCTAATGCCATAACTGCCCTAAATGTGTGAAATATAGGCTTAACAGTCATTATTAACTTAACGTAACTAGTATAAATTTAATGAACTACAAAAGAAAAGACACTTTGGTAAATAGCTCACTATCTCATTAAATGTGCATGGTTTTATTCTCCAGGGTGGGATGACTGGATGAAAAAAAGCTTTCATAATATTCCTTTATGTTAAGGCATTTTCTTAACAATTAAAGGCCCATCTTTTTATGTACCTTGAGTTTATCAAGAAGAAGATTTGTGAGGAGGAAGTGCCCAATATGATTTGTCCCAAACTGTAGCTCAATGCCCTCTTTAGTGAATGACTTCTTACATCGCATCACACCAGCATTGTTAATTAGTATGTCAACTCTTGCCTCTTCTGCAATAAGAGTTAAAATTTACACAATTGCAAGTTTAAGACATGACTGTAAAAGGTACAGCTGTGGAAGCTGTGAGTTCCTACTAGATGAGTGAGCCACAGCATGTATATAAAAAGAGAGGAGAGTTACAGCAAGAACGCTTCTAAGACAAGGATGTGTGATACTGCCATGGTTGTCTGACGAGTTACAAATATGGCTAGTTTATTGGTGTTGTGGTTATAAAAAATAATGACTCTGCTTTAAATTAGGATGGAAAAGGCTTTTTGGAATTGTGTGCAAAAGTCAAAACATGAATGCAGAAAAGAGCAAGGTGGTGATAATAAATAAAAGTACAGTGGACCCCGACCAATGAAGGATCGTCTAACGAAAAATTCGCTTAACGAAGCGTTTAAGCATAAAAATTTTGGCCCAACCAACGAAGAAAAACTGGACCAACGACATCTGTTCAAACCTGTTCGTCCAGCCTGAGTGCCTCAGCTGCCCTGCCGTCAGCTAGTGTGCCATTGTTTACAAGCCAGGGCAGATGGTTCCACACATACATTCGATCATTTTGTATTATTCCATTGTTTTTAGTGCTTGTAACTGGTAAATAAGCCACCATGGGCCCAAAGAAAGCTTATAGTGTCAACCCTGTGGTAAAAAGGGTGAGAAATACTATCGAAATACATCATACCACGGTCAGCTGCTGCTGTACCACAGTCAGCTGCTGCTGTACTACGGTCAGCTGCTGCTGTACCACGGTCAGCTGCTGCTGTACCACGGTCAGCTGCTGCTGTACCACAGCTGCCGCTGCTGCTGTACCATAGTCAGCTGCTGCTGTTGCTGTAACATGGTCAGCTGCTGCTGCTGCTGTACCACGGCCTGTGCTGCTGCTGCTGCACATGGCACGTGTGCTGCCATGCTGCTGCACCATAGTCAGCTGCTGCTGCTGTACCACGGTCAGCTGCTGCTGTTGCTGTACCACAGTCAGCTGCTGCTGCTGTTGCTGTACCACAGTCTGCTGCTGCTGCTGCTGTACCACGCTCACCTGCTGCTGCACCACCATCAGCTGTACTACTCGAAGATGTGGAGAGTGTTGTTGGTGTGGCTTAACGAGAAACAATTACTGAGAAAATTAACCCCAGAGGGTTAGCACCCAGGATAACCCAAGAAAGTCAGTGCGTCATCGAGGACTAACTTATTTCCACTGGGGTCCTTAAGCTTGTCCCCCGGATGTGACCTGGAGTTTACCTGGAGAGAGTTCCGGGGGTCAACGCCCCCGCGGCCCGGCCCGACCCACACCAGTTGACTAACACCCAGGTGAACATGAAAAAATGCCTGGAACTAGTGCTCATATTAGTCAATTTAAGGCCAGCAAAAGTTGGTTTGAGAGATTTAAGAATCGTAGTGGCATACACAGTGTGAAGCTGAAAAATTCCAACCCCAACAAGTGTTCAATTGTGACGAAACAGGCGTGTTCTGTAAGTAAGTTTATTCAGGTATACACAAATACAGTTACATAGAATTATCATACATAGCAGCATATGTGTAGAGAACCTAGGATAACCCAAAAAAGTCAGACACAGTGACTTATTTCCATTGGGGTCCTTTAAGAAGGGCTCAATTGACAGATTTTTAATGCGACAGAGGTCCAGTGACTCAAGTTGTTCCCAGTGGCATTAAAAAACAAAGAAGGGAAGCAACCCTGGAAAAGGACTTGGTACCTAAAGTCCTTATGGAAGGGGATTTCCCTTTCAAAAATTAATACACCTCCACTTCCCCTCCTCCCATCTCATCATTCATCACTACATCTTCAATAAAGGTAAGCATCATTCATTCTTCATTTAGTACAGTACAGTATTTATTGTGCACGTATCCCTTTTCTGTGTAGGAAAATGTATATTTCATGTGAAAAAAAAAATCATACTTTTGGGTGTCTGGAACGGATTAATTGGATTTCCATTATTTCTTATGGGGAAAATTAATTTGACTAACAACAAGCTCTCTGGAACGGATTAATATCATTGGTTGAGGGTCCACTGTATGGGGAATGAAAGATTGGAAGGAAGTAGTGCTGTACAGTGTGAATGTATTTTGATAAATGGAAGTGGGTCTTTCAATATGTTGGTCTACTAAGATAAATAACTACAGCAGACCCTCATATTACACAGATTTATTTGGCACATTTTAGTTTTTACACTAATGAAAAATTGCAGCATAATATTATACAACACTTCGTAAAATTAACTTAACACGGTTCAGTTTGTGGGAGGGGAAAAATCTGGAGCGTCGCCTGCAGGATATTTCTCTAGCTCAGGCCGTTGCCTGGCTGCATCGGGCTTCAAGGCAGCAAAGGATCGCTTGACCTTGATCCTTTGCGGTAATGCTTCAGGTGATTTCAAGTGTAAGCCCATGTTTATTTACCGGTCTGAGAATCCTCGTTCTTTGAAAGGTGTACATAAAAACACCTTACCAGTAATTTGGAGGTCAAACCAATCAGCATGGAAGACAGAGGAAATATTTATTGACTAGTTTAAGCATCACTTTATTCCTGAAGTCAAGTTTTACCTGCATTCAAGGCTCTCTTCATTCTTGATAACTTCCATAATCATCCAAAAGCTTTGCTGGATGTGACCACACATGTAAAAGTTGTATTTTTACCTCCAAATACAACATCTTTAATACAACCACTGGATTGAGGAGTTATTAAGCCATTCAACTGTAACTATACAAGCAAAGTGATGAAAACACTAGTTGCATCAATGGACTCTGACTCCAACCTGGCAGTACCAAGCTTTTGGAATAATGTATAATGTACTGCAGGGTAAAATAAGCCAGAGACCCATTACAGAATTTATGCACACTCCAATACAACCCTCGACTTTAGTACCAGAACCTCAACCATCCACTTCTGCTGACAACCAACAACCATCCACCTCAGCTCAGTAGGGCCACACCATGCATCTGCACTCTCTTCACAATCACTGACATACACCACCTGACGACACTGGAGGACAGGAGAGATAGGGGGGACATGATAACGACATACAAAATACTGAGAGGAATTGACAAGGTGGACAAAGACAGGATGTTCCAGAGATTGGACACAGTAACAAGGGGACACAGTTGGAAGCTGAAGACACAGATGAATCACAGGAATGTTAGGAAGTATTTCTTCAGCCACGGAGTAGTCAGTAAGTAGAATAGTTTGGGAAGCGATGTAGTGGAGGCAGGATCCATACATAGCTTTAAGCAGAGGTATGATAAAGCTCACGGCTCAGGGAGAGTGACCTAGTAGCGATCAGTGAAGAGGTGGGGCCAGGAGCTCGGACTCGACCCCCGCAATCTCAACTAGGTGAGTACACCAGCAACCACAATTTGAGGTAAGTAATATTATTTCTGTTGCATTTGTAGTCTTAAGCAATAAAAACAACATTATCATTTTTATTTTTGTAAGATCTGGATGTCTAAAAAGAAGTTGTTTGGCTTTTTTTTTTGGGGGGGGGGAGGAGGAATGTAACCCTAACCCTATTTTTCCCACAAGTTCTTCAGTTCATATGACATGGATTTATCTAACATGACATTTTCAGGAACATAACTACCATATAATATAAGGGTCTATTGTATTTAAATGTGAAAGATGTTGGTAATGAATTATCTGTGGAAACGATAAAATGTCAACATATGCAAATATGGTAAAAAAGACTAGTGATACCTAATATTTCTGTATTGATATGAATCACATTCTCCAGATGTTGCTGTGAGGAAGTTGGTGGCAGTGGATATGTTTTGTGTGAGAACAATATGTGATGTGAATGATTTACAGGCAGGCCCCACTTATACAGCAAGTTAAGTTCTGGGCTACTGCTGTAAAGTAAAACAGTCTTTTTTTCACTTTCAAATACATATAAAAGCCTGATAACATGTTTACACTATCATATATTAAGTGAGCAATAGAGCTAGACATAAAAAATGCATACACAGTGGTACCTCGAGTTTCGAACAGCTCCCAACTCAAACAATTATGTAAGTGTATTTTTAGGGGTCTGAAATGGACTAATCTAATTCACATTATTCCTTATGGGAACAAATTCATTCGGTATTGGCACTCGAACTGCCTTCTGGAACAAATTAAGTTCATAACTTGAGGTACCATTGTACAATATTTACATTATTTACCTTAAAATACTTTCATCCTTAGCTTATAGTGAGTGGGGAATATATTTATTGTAGGAAGTCTAAATAAATGAAGAATGGGTATAGTTGAAAATTACTGTAAAGTGAAGCACTGTAAAGCAGGGCCCTCATGTATATACAGAGAGGGAGAGTGAGGAATGAAGAAACCACTACATCATGGTGATATGAGAGCTGTACAGTACTGCATATACATTTTATATCTTATTATTACCTTAACCCTTAAACTGTCCAAACGTAGATCTACGTTTGCACCACTAGCGCTCTGAACGTAGATCTATGATTTTTTTTTTTACATTTGAAAGCATGTAAAATAAAACGTAGATCTACATTCGGAGCACTAGCAGGGTTAAGTCACCCAAAAATATTCCAGTACAATGTGCACTTATAATAACTTCACTATCTTATTGAAACATATGTCGTTAAACCCAATAAATTACGGGTATCATCCGACTTATGACTGAGCTTGGTTCCGACCAACCAGTCGTAAGTCAAAATGGACGTAAGTCAAACCCTACTACTGAATATCAACATCACATTTTTGTAATGACTTTTATTTTATTGTTTTATTTTGGTATTTCATTTTTTACTTTACTTTTTATGCTGTTAGTACTGTATTTTATACTGTAAGGTTTAGGATAAACACTGTGTACAACACAAACAGTTGTTTATTTCCAGAAATTTGGCATACAAAACACGGTGTAAGTAGAGTGATCATATGTCGAGCAGGTCATAAGTCGGATGGTAGGTATAAAGTATCTAAATCGATATCTGCATTCACTGATTATTACACAACTTGATGCAGTGACTTTTGTGAATACTACATAAGTTACAGCATTATTTCCTGCAGTAATCAGAAGAATGATGCCGTAATTTAAAAAAAAAAGTCTCTGTACACGTATATGGGATTCCTGAGTCTTCAACAAACTTTACAAGGTTTAAGGAACAAGAGCCCACTCACAGGAAAAAAAACTATTTCGGAAAGATAAAATATAAAGATAAAAAGTAGAAAAAAAAAGAATGAAAATAAAAGTTAGAAAAATATTTTTATATTTTTCTATCAAACATATAACAGTAAATATGTTCAATTACAGTAAATATGTCCATCCCTAAAAAAAAACAATTACAAGTTTCACAAAAGTCACTGGTAAAATGTGTTATTTTGTATTATTGTAAGTACAGTAATTAGAAGGTAAGTCAGAAAATAAGAGCAATGTAATATGTATGTATACATTTTATTTAATACTTACTTTCATTCACCATTTTTGCAAAGTTTCTTATTGATTCTTGTGAAGCTAAGTCACATTCTTGGCAATATATATATTTATTTCTGGAAGCCAGTGCAATATCTTTCCTTGCCTAGAAAAGAAAAATCCCCTAATTTCTTGGAGTTCAAAGTTTATTCATTATGAAAAACTGTAGACATACACTATAAATTTTATATTCAAGACATTTTGTAAAGTTAAAAAATAAAATAGAAGACTAATACAGTATAGTTAAACCATCCACTTCAGTATTTCTCTAACAAAGAGTGCACATCCATTTCTAACTCATTACTGATCCAAGAAACAATCCTTTATCTAACCTCTCTACACTTGTCCATGTCTCTACAGGCCATAATGACACGGGCATGTCGCAGCGCCATCTCCAAAGCTGTCTCTTTCCCAATGCCAGTATTTGCGCCAGTAATAATCACTGTCTTTCCATTCAAGCTCTCACTTCCATTATATTTACTGCCTCCAAGAGTTTCTCTGCAATACGAAACATCATACAGGCATAACTGAACAATAAAAAATAACATTTAATACACATATCCTTTGTTCATAGTTTTATTTATCCTGTAAATTTCTTTTAAAGAAGGAAAATATATGTTCACTGAAATACGTGACTTTAAATGAATAGTTATATGGCCAAAGAAATTATGTCACATACAAGATATGATATTATTTGGATTGTTAACCCCCAGAGGGTTAGCCACCCAGGATAACCCAAGAAAATCAGTGTGTCATCGAGGACTGTCTTATTTTCACTGAGGTCCTTAAATCTTGTCCCCCAGGATGTGACCCACACCAGTCAACTAGCACCCAAGTGTTAGGTGAATGGGACAGCAGGTGTAAAGAAACACACCCAATGCTTACACCCTTGCTGGGGACTGAACCACAGACACTCGGTGTGTGAAGCAAGAGTGTTGCCTACAAGGCCATAGGACACTCATATATATCATTTATAGGAGGTGAGACTTTCCTAGATGTGACTGACCATGCTTGTAAAAGTTCAAGCAAGTGGTTTCTGCTCTTACTTGTGATACCCCAAAAATTGATTCAGAAAGGTGGCAGTAGTGAGGCTCCCTTGGGGCTTCTGTGGGGTGATGATCTTTTTCTAGGGGTTGACAGATAAATGAATATTTTTCTACCAATTTCAGGTCTAGGGTGGCCATCTTAAGACTTGCCTCATTCTCCTCATTTTTGGGGTTCAATAACTGACCACTCATCTATGACTGTTGTGAATAAATACAAGTAGATCCAAAAATTATGAAAAGATTTTATTCCAGCTCTGAAAATGAACGAACTTACAGTGGAATTTCACTACTATAAACCTTGCAGATCAAAAAAAGGGGAAGGGAAAGGAAGGCAAGGAACAAAGGAATTCTCCCTGGCAAAATGTTTTCAAGTCTGGCAAATTACTACTGGAGTAATGTTGTGCATGTTTATTTTGTCCACCCCTTTTTATTTTATTGTTGCCATGCTGCTGCTGCAATGGACTGGTGAGGCTGATTGACACTTCAGTAAAGATAAGTGTTAGGGAGTTCAGTGGTGTCTAGTTGTCTCAGCATGGTAAGACGTCTCTTAGCTTGATTGCTAGCACACTCAGCTCACACACTGAAGTCCATGGGTCAATCCCCAGTATGGGTGGAAACATTGGGACGTGTTTCCTTAACTCTTTCGGGGTTTCCGACGTACTAGTATGGCTTATGCACCAAGGTTATTGACGTACTAGTATGCGTAAATTCTAGCTCCTTCAAATCTAGCGAGAGAGAGCTGGTAGGCCTACATATGAAAGAATGGGTCTATGTGGCCAGTGTGCACAGTATATAAAAAAGCCTGCAGCACACAGTGCATAATGAGAAAAAAAACTCTGACCGTGTTTTTGGTTTAAAACAGCGACTTTGCACTGTACTTTCGTATGGTATTTATCACTGAATTCTCGTTTTCCTGGTCTCACTTTATAGAATGGAAGACATATTACAGGAATTAAGATGATTTTGAATGGTTTCACAATGAAAAGTACCTTGAAATTGAGCTCAAAGTAGCAGAAATGTTCGATTTTTACCAAAGTTCAAAAGTAAACAAATCATGCCATGCATCCAATACACGTCAACTGGTGAGTCTAATGGTATTTACATATATATCATTTCTACATTAATGCAGTAGTCTGCATAACAGTAAATCTTCTATTTTTTGTGAGAGTAAAAATTCAAAGTGGAAAGCAAAAGAAATGTAAGAGGGGCGTGGGGACATGACTAATGAACAGAGGAAATGTTATTTTAGTGCCAGGAATGTCTGTCTTGTTTACTCTGGACCCTATTTGGAAATTCGCATCTTTTGAAATGTGTGAGAAATTGGCAAAATTGCTAATTTCTGACCATTTTATTGGATAGTTGAAATTGGTAAATAGGTGATTTCTTGTAGTACTCATTTGATAGAAAAAAAGGAGTTCTAGCAAAATAGTTATGATTTTTGTCGACTAGTACACTGGAATTGGCCGTAAATAGGGCTCAAATTGGGCAAAATCGCCAATGCGTAAACATCGTCGAGACCGCTAACTTCGCTAGAGCATAATTCCATAAGTTTTCAATCAAATTTCATACTTTTGGTGTCATTATGATCAGGAAAAGATTCTCTATCTTTTCGTGACAAAAAAAAATTTGTTTTTTTTCCGAAAAATTTTCAACCCTGAGAACAAGTTTAGGAGAGGGCCTCTTGACCCTGAAAGGGTTAAGGCACCTGATGTCCATGTTCACCTATCAGTATTATTATTATAATCAAAAAGAAGCGCTAAACCACAAGGGCCATACAGCTCACCTATCAGTAAAGTAGGTACCTGGGCATTAGGAGACTGGTGTGAGTTGCATCCTGGGGACAAAATTTACTTAATATGCCTGAAATGCTCAGCATAACAAGGGGCTCTCTATATATTAGCATGTCACTGATGTCAGCTAGACCTGTATACCTTGTACATGTACTTGCAGAAATACCTGAAGTATACCTGGAAAGGGTTTCGAGGGTCAACACCCCTGCGGTCCGGTCTGTGACCAGGCCTCATCGTGGATCAGGGCTTGATCAACCTGCCTGTTACTGTTGGCCGCACGCAACCCGATGTACAAACTGCAGCCCGGCTGGTCAGGTACTGACTTTAGGTGCCTGTCCAGTGCCTTCTTGAAGACAGCCAGGGGTCTATTTGTGATCCCCCTTATATATGCTGGGAGGCAGCTGAACAGTCTTGGGCCCCTGACACTTATTGTGTTGTCTCATATCGTGCTAGTGGCACTGCTGCTTTTCATTGGGGGATGTTGCATCATCAGCCGAGTCTTTTGATTTCATAGGGAGTGATTTTCGTATGCAAGTTTGGCAGTAATTCCTCTAGGATTTTCCGTGTATTTCTCCCACCTGCATTCTAGGGAGTACAGGTTGAGGAACTTCAAGCATTCCCAATAACTGAGGTGTTTTATCGCAGTGAAGGTTCTCTGTACACTTTCTAGGTCAGCAATTTCACTTGCCTTGAAAGGTGTTGTTAGTGTGCAGCAATATTCCAGCCTAGAATATTGCTGCACATCATGGGCTTGGTATCCCTAGTTTTGAATGTTCTCATTATCCATCCTGTCATTTTTCTAGCAGATGTGATTGATACAATGTTAGGGTCTTAAGGTGAGATCCTCTGACATGATCACTCCCAGGTCTTTTACATGAGTTTTTCGCTCTATTGTGTGGTTGGAATTTGTTTTATACTCCAATATAGTTTTAATTTCCTCACGTTTTTCCACATCAAAGTTTATGTAAAGTAAAAAGGACACAAGTGCAACTAATGTGACTTTTATTGTGGCAACGTTTTGCTCTCCAGGAGCTTTATCAAGCCATTGTAATGGCTTGATAAAGCTCCTGGAGAGCGAAACGTTGCCACAATAAAATGTCACATTAGTTGCACTTGTGTCCTTTTACTTTACATATTGTCGGTAATTCTACCAACTTTATCACATCAAAGTTATTGAAATTTCTCATTATTGAACTTCATATTGCTCTCTGCAGCCCATTTAAAGATTTGGTTGATGAGTCAGTGTGACTTCGTAAATGGTCCAAGTCGGACCGAAACGTCGTCGAAAGCTTCTCTCTTTTATGTGCGGGTTATTTGCGTATCGTTCCAGTCACGGTATTGTGCCTTTTTTTTTTTACATTACAGATATATTGGCCTCTTTTAGCTGCTCTGTTATTCTTTGCCAAAGCCTCTATAGAAAGTGCCTCTCTCTTTCTAGTTTACATCTTCTCCTTTTCCATAAGTGGATATGCCTTGAGCATACCTCGAGTGCCACAGAGTTACTTTGTTCTAGACTTAGGTTTGGATCCATGTTGCTTAGGCTATCTTCCCAGTTTATATCATTTAGGACCTGGTTTACTAGGTCCTGCCTTATGTTTTTGTTACTGAAGTTGAATTTGGTGAAGGCTCCCTCATGACTGATCACATTTTGTCGGTCTGGGGCCCCGCACATACATGTCTGAATCTCTTATTATGTTGTGATCCGAGTACATTGTTTTTGATATGGTAATATTTCGCATCAGATCATCACTGTTAGTGAATATGAGGTCCAGTGTATTCTCCAATCTTGTAGGCTCTAGTATTTGCTGGTTTAAGGTGAATTTGGTACAGAGATTTAAAAGCTTGTGTTATCCCTGCTACAACATTATTTGCTACATCCCTCCATTTTAGGTGCCTTAGGTTGAAATCCCCCAGGAGCAAGATGTTGGGGGCAGGAGCTGAAAGATTTTCCAGACAACGATCAATTTTCACAAGTTGTTCCTGGAATTACTGGGAAGTTGCATCCAGAGGCTTGTATACAACCACAATGACCAGGTTTTGGCTCTTGATCTTTACTGCCAAAACTTCAACTATATCATTTGAGGCATTTGGTAATTCCGAGCATATAAGTGACTGTGATATACAGGCTAACCCCCTCCCCCCTTTTGCCTGTTCACTCTGTCGCATTTGTATAGGTTGTAACCCGGGATCCATATTTCATTGTCAAAGGGATCCTTTATGTAGGTCTCTGTGAAAACCACGAACACTGCATTTGACTCTGTAAGCAGTCCATGAATGAAAGGTATTTTGTTGTTTGTTGTCAGCTTTAGACCCTGTATATTTGCAAATATGAATGTCATCAGATTGGTGGTATTGGTGGTATGAGGGGGGTCTTTTTTTCCTGGCACTAATATCTGTTGTTTTGGAGTGGAGACCATCGACTGTGATTCCACTCCAGAAATGATTGGAGTTGGTGTATAATTTCTGTCATTTCCTGCCAGCTTTTTTTTCCTTCTTGGTACTAAAAAAAACCTCTCTCTGGAGTGGCTGTGGCTACCCAGGTTTATCCATGGTCTGGATGTTCTGTATCTTTCTTGTCCCTGTAGGGGACACGTAACAGCCATGTGACACCAGTGGTGATGTACAACTTTATTCTCTCCTCCTTCAAGGGCTCCATATACAGATTAGCCAGGACAGCACTAAAGGGTTTCCCCAAAGCTATGCTAAAGGAATGGCTCTGCACAGTTACCAAATGAGAAGCAGTTGAAACTAATGCATGGATCAATAATGTAGGTGAAATTCTTAGCTGGAAGAGGAAAATCTAGGGCATCAGTGACCTTTTAACAGAGCAGAGCAATGGCTTGTATCATAGGAACCCTAGTGAAGAAAGATGTGATGTCATATAACTGATAGGCGGGTGAAACACTTCCTTAACCCTTTCAGGGTCCCCAGGCCCTCTCCGAGACTTGTTCTCAGGGTCGCCAAATTTAAAAAAAAAAAAAAAATACTTTTTCTTATGAAAAGATAGAGAATCTTTTCCCAATCATAATGACACCAAAAGTATGAAATTTGATGGAAAACTTACGGAATTATGCTCTCGCGAAGTTAGCGGTCTCGACGATGTTTACGCATCGGTGATTTTGTCCACTTTGATCCCTATTTTCGGCCAATTCCAGTGTACTAGTCGACAAAAATCATAACTATTTTACTACAAACCCATTTTTTCTATCGATTGAGTACAAGAAACCACCTATTATCGATTTCAACTATCCAATAAGGTGGTCAGAATTTAGCAATTTTGCCAATTTCACACAAATTTCAGAAGATGCCAATTTCCAAATAGGGTTCAGAATAAACAAGAAAGACATTCCTGGCACTAAAATAACAAGTTCTCTGTTCGTTAGTCACATCCCCAGGCCCCTCTTATATTTCTTTGGCTTTCCACTTTGAAATTTTATTCTTACAAAAAATAGAAGATTTACTGTTATGCAGACTACTATATTAGTGTAGAAATGGTATAAATAATATCAGCGCACTTGTGAAAGAATATCAGACTCACCAGTTGACGTGTATTGGATGCTTGGCATGATTTGTTTACTTTTAAACTTTGGTAAAAATCGAACATTTCTGCTACTATGAGCTCAATTTCAAGGTACTTTTCATTGTGAAACTAATCAAAATCATTTCAATTTCTGTAATATGTCTTCCATTCTATAAAATGAGACCAAGAAAACTAGAATACAACAATAAATACCATACGAAAATACAGTGCAAAGTCACTGTTTTAATCCATAAACACGGTCAAAGTTTTTTTTTCTCATTATGCACTGTGTGCTGCAGGATTATTTTATACTGTGCACAATGACCACATAGACCCATTCTTTCATATGTAGGCCTACCAGCTTTCTCTCACTAGATTTGAGGGCACTAGAATTTAGGCGTACTAGTACGTCAAAAATCCTGGGGCGTAAGCCGTACTAGTACGGCCGAAACCCTGAAAGGGTTAATAAATACCTTAATTCCACTTTTCTGTCTGTACTGCACATACTTGTCAGTGTTTATGCACAGTTTACAACATTCTATGTATACCTGTACATGCACGCAATTTCCAAAAAGTTTTATGAATTTCTAACTACAATTTCTCAAAATTAGCCAACAAAAATTCATTAATAATAATAATAATAATCTTTATTTCTATAAATACATGATACAACTTATATAAAAGAACATAAGAAAGAAGGAACATTGCAGCAGGCCTACTGGCCCATGCGAGGCAGGGTTCAAGTCTCCTATCAGCTTAAGCCAATGCCCCAACCTGGTCAGGTCAGGTCAGGTCACATTCACCTAAGGAAGGAGCATGGCATCTGACCTAGTACCACAAGCTAGTCGGGTCCAGCTCACACCCACCCCGCACCCACTCATGTATTTATCTAACCTATTTTTAAAACTACACAACGTTTTAGCCTCTATAACTGTACTCGGGAGTTTATTCCACTCATCAACAACTCTATTGCCAAACCAGTGCTTCCCTATATCCTTCCTGAATCTGAATTTTCCAGCTTAAAGCCACTGCTGCGAGTCCTGTCTAGGCTAGATGTACATGGGGCTCAAAAACAATAAACCATCTCAGACCATTAATTACCCAACAAAAGGCTGCAGTCAGAATGATGATAAATTCCCACTACAGGCAGCACACTCCACCAATATTCAAAACTCTAAACCTACTCACCAAACAAAACATCCATACCTATTATTGTACCTACTACATACATAGAACACTAAACTCGGATATAAACCCTCCCCTCAAATGTCTCCTTACCAACCTCAACAGAACACATGACCATAACACAAGGCATAGATCACTCTTTGATATTCCTCGTGTCCATCTCACACTATGCAAAAACTCAATGCACATAAAAGGCCCAAAAATCTGGAATTCACTACCTGTGAATATAAAAGAAACACTGTCTGTTTATAAATTCAAGTCTCTTCTTAAAAATCACTTACTCACCCACAACCAAATAAATACTGAATAATTGTATCTCATAAATGTTTAACCTGTGACCCAATCAAACTTTATTTTTAATTACATTATCTAACAGAATACTCCATCCTACTGAATGCACAGCAACACAGTAAATGACCATATGACCTGTCTTTGAAATACTCATTTGTGCTTAAGTGTTAACTGTTTACAACAATGTTTACCACTGAATATATCATTGCTTAGTTAATCTTAAGTTAATTTTAAGCCTGCCCATAATGCTCTGCATACAAGGGGCTTTGGCATGTTACACTTAACCACTGTATTTCCTTGTACTTCAATGTATCATGTTCAAATAAATAAATAAAAAAAAAAAAAAATAAAAAAAATTTTAGCACGCTATTTACATCCCCTTTATTTATTCCTGTCTTTCATTTATACACCTTAATCATATCCCCCCTAATTCTATGCCTTTCTAGAGAGTGCAAATTCAGGGTCCTCAGTCTATCATCATAGGGAAGATTTCTCCTACATGGGATCAACTTTGTCATCCTCCTTTGTATGTTTTCTAGTGCATTCATATCCATTCTGTAATACGGTGACCGAAACTGTATGGCATAATCTAGATAAGGCCTAATCAAGGATATATAGAGTTGAAGAACAACCTGAGGACTCCTATTATTTATGCTTCTTGATATGAAGTCAAGGATTCTGTTCGCTTTTTTGCGAACACTTATGCACTGTTGTCTTGGTTTTAGATTATTGCTAACCAGAATTCCCAAATCCTTTTCACAATCAGTAATATTAAGATCTACATTATTTAGTTTATATGTGACATGGTCATTTTCCTGTCCAGTTCTTAGAACTTTCCATTTGTCTATATGTATTAAGCTGCAGCTGCCACTTCTCTGATCACTGCATCAGTTTATTCAAATCTTCCTGAAGTGTTTTAATGTCCTCGTCAGAATGAATTAGACGGTCTATTTTGGTGTCATCAGCAAACTTGCTTATGTTGCTATTTATTCCTTCATCTATGTTGTTTATGTAGGTTGTGAACAACAAGGGGCCCAACACTGACCCCTGTGGAACACCGCTCATGACGCTTCCCCACTCTGATTTCTCCCTATTTATGCACTCTCTCTGCTGCCTATTTGTCAACCATGCCTCTATCCAGGAAAAAATTTCTCCTATTCTGTGTGCCTTAACTTTCCTCAATAGTCTCTGATGGTACCTATTTTACTGATAGGTGAACATGGAGAGCAGGTGCTTTAAGGAAAACCTTTTAAAAGTTTCCACCCATACTAGGGATCGACCTGCAGACTTCAGTGTGTACTCAAGACTCCAATGGAAATAGGTCACTGACTTTTTTGGGTTATCCTAGGAAATCTACACATGCTGCTTTGTATAATTTATGTAATTGTATATTTGTGCATACCCGTACCTGAATAAACTTACTTAAAGCTCGGTGAACATGGACATGTATTAAGGAAACATGATAAAATATTTCCACCTGTACCGGCTGGGCATGTTTCCTCACTCCTGTTGTCTTTGTTCAAAAAGCACTTAAGTAGATATCAGGATGTTTGCTGAATGTTGTGGACTGCATCCTGGATAAGAGGATCAAAAGAACCCAGTAGAAAACAAGCCAGACATAGTAGCTTCTTCAGTATGTTTATTTTGGTAAACCTCTGGGTTAAGTTTATTTAGGCACATGCCACATAAATACAATTATCATACATGGTGTAAATTACCTAGGATACCCCCCAAAAAAGTCAGTGACTTATTTCCATTGGGGTTACTAATACGGCTAAAATCTTTATTTATTTATTTATTTATTTATTTATTATAAATTTGAGCACACATACAGAGGTACAAAAAAATACAGATAAGAGCAGCATGCCAAAGCCACTTATACTATGCATAGCATTACGGGCTGGCTTAAAATTAACTTAAGATTAACTAAGCAATGATGAAGTCAGTGATAAAACATTAATGTAAACAGATTACTATAAAGCACAAGTGAGTATTACAAAGACAGGTCATATGGTTGCATTCAGTCATATGAAGGATTCTGTTAGGTAGTGTATTTAAAAAATAATAAAGTTAGATTCGGTTTTAGGTTTAACATTTATGTGATATAATTGTGAGAAACATTTAAGATATACAATTTATAAGGTTCAGTTATTCAGTATTTATTTGGTTTTGGGTGAGTAAGTGATCTTTGAGTAGAGACTTGAATTTATAAACAGGTAGTGTTTCTTTTATATTTACAGGTAATGAATTCCAGATTTTAGGGCCTTTTATGTGCATTGAGTTTTTGCATAGTGTGAGATGAACACGAGGAACATCAAAGAGTGATCTGTGCCTTGTGTTATGGTCATGTGTTCTGTTGAGGTTGGCAAGGAGATGTTTGAGGGGAGGGTTAATATCAGAGTTAAGTGTTCTATGTATGTAATAGGTGCAGTAATAAGTATGGATGTTTTGTATGGTGAGTAGGTTTAGTGTATTGAATATTGGTGGAGTGTGCTGCCTGTAGTGAGAATTTATCATCATTTGTTACATTTTATCCGCGTTGCTGCTCTGAACTAATATGTAAAAACGGTGGGCTTACTTGAATAATATAACACCCCCAACTAGGGAACCAACGGCACTGAAGCGAATAATATTCTTAGGTATATTCCACTTCATGTTTGGGTGATGGGGTTGTTAAGGGCCTTATTGAACCTTGCCTCACGGGAGTCCGAGTAAAAAAAAACATATTGACTATATATGGGCGGGAATTACAAATTCAATTAAATTCAATTCAAAGTTTATTCTCTATAAGGATTACAATGCTGAGTTTACAGAATTTGGTTATTGTGTGGTTTACATGTAGTAAAATAATGATTACAGAGTGTACCACTAGAACACCTAGCATGGCTAGGCATTTCGGGCAGACTTAGTTTAATTCTTAATTTTAAAATATTACAAATTATGAAGTAAGTTGGTATTATGGCTAAGTGACTAAATACTAGTTTGTGAGTTTAGCAATGTGAATGCTTTTGTTTTGGCACAGTACATAGTTTCAGTATTGGAGTATCACAGGATTCATCATTTTAAGATTGAGATTAATATTTCTGTTTATGGTCAAATGGGTGAGTGAGTGTAAGTGTGAACCACCAGGTGGTATTCGTGTAGTTAGTTGATGGGGTGTATCAGGGAGATACGATGTTTTCTAATGGTAGTTTTGAAGGTGATGAATGTGTCTGCAGTTCTAGAGTTCACAGGTAGGGTGTTCCAGATTTTAGGGCCTTTGACATACATTAAATTTTTGTAAAGGTTTAGTCGGACACGGGGAATGTCATAGAGATGTTTGTGTCTGGTGTTATGCCTGTGGGTTCTGTCACAACTATCAAGAAAGCGTTTTAGGTCAAGGTTGATATTGGAGTTTAAGGTCTTGTAGATGTAGATTGCACAGTAGTAAGTGTGGATGTACTGAACAGGGAGTAAGTTTAGATCTATGAAGAGTGGGGGGGGGTGTTGCCAGGATGGGATTTGGTGATTATTCTTACTTCAGCTTTTTGTTGGGTTATTATTGGCTTTAGGTGTGTTGCTGCAGTTGATCCCCAAGCACAAATAGCATAGGTGAGGTATGGATAAATAAGTGAGTGGTATAGTGTGAGAAGGGCATTTTGCGGCACGTAGTATTGTATCTTGGAGAGGATCCCAACCGTTTTGGATACTTTTTTGGTTATGTGTTGGATATGGGTGCTGAAATTCAGGTTGTTGTCAAGGTATAGGCCTAGGAATTTGCCCTCATTATGTCTGGTAATTAGAGTGTTGTCGATCTTAATGTTAATTTGTGCATCTCCTGCTCTGCTACCAAACATAATATAGTAGGTTTTGTCAGTGTTAAGCGTAAGTTTATTGGCTGTCATCCAAGTCGATATTTTGATCAGCTCCTCGTTAACAAAGGTGTTGAGGGTGGCAAGATTAGGGTGAGAGATGACATAAGTCGTGTCGTCAGCAAAGAGAATGGGTTTCAGGTGTTGGGCTACGTTTGGAAGATCATTGATGTATATGAGGAAGAGCAGGGGACCAAGGACACTTCCCTGCGGAACTCCAGTATCAAGTGGCCGTGTTGTTGATGCTGTGTCTTTAATGGTGATATACTGATACCTATTAGAAAGGTAAGATTTGAAATAAGCAAGCGCATGGCCTCTTATACCGTTCGGTCAAGTTTATGCAGTAGGATGTCGTGGTCTACCGTGTCAAAAGCTTTTCTTAGGCAAATAAAAATTCCTAGTGGATATTCCTTATTTTCCAATGCTGTGTAAAGCAGATCTAGCATTTTTATGATTGCATTAGTGCTTTCATTTTTCCTGAATCCAAATTGGCAGGGGTTGAGTATGTTTTGTCCCGTTATAAATGAATATAGTCTCCTGTGCACGAGTTTCTCAAAGATTTTGGATAGCAATGGTAAGTTTGATATTGGCCTATAGTTGTTTAAGTCTGTAGGGTCACCACCTTTATGTATTGGTGTAACCCTTGCCATCTTGAGTAGTTTCGGGAATGTGCTAGTTTCTAGTGACTTGTTAAAAAGTAATGAAATAGCATGCGAAAGGACATGGGCTGCTCGCTTGTACAGTAATGGTGGGACATGAGACAGATTCCCCGAGTTATTTTTAAGTGACTTTATAATCTCGGTGACTTCCGTGGGCTCAGTTGGTGCAAGACAGAAGGAATTTGGGAAATTCCCATCTAGGTAGTCCCCGGCATGGGCATTGGTATGTGGGATTTTATTGGCGAGATTAGATCCTATGGTTGAGAAGAAGTCATTTATCTTGTTAGCTGTATCAGTGGGATGTAGTGGTGTTTCATTAGGTTTAGTTAGGACAATATTCTTGTGATGAATGGTTTGAAAAACCGACAAGTTGAAGATTGAGACACTTATGCAGCATATGGGAATCTTTATTCAGGAAACGTTTCGCCACACAGTGGCTTCATCAGTCCAATACAAAGAGGAAGGCGTAAGGAGAGGAGGAGTATGAGGTAATCAGTCCCTCAACCTGGAGTCGATGTGTTCAGTCCATCAGTCTTGTAGAATGTACAGCATAGGGCCGTAGACGTGGCTTATATACTGTAGTGAAGTGAGGTGAAGCAGGCGGAGGCGGGGTCATAGTGGTACCATCCACTAGTCGAAGTAGGTCTTCGTCCAAAGGTTGAACAAGTGTTGAAGAATTCTTTACAACAAGATCCCATGATGCTGCAGTGTCTGACAGTTGTGATGAATGGTGTCTCAATCTTCAACTTGTCGATTTTTCAAACCATTCATCACAACTGTCAGACACTGCAGCATCATGGGATCTTTAAGGGTGATGGACTGATTACATCGTCTTCAAGTATCTTCTGCTTCTATCAACTTTTCTGTACTCGACTGAAGAAGCCTACTGTGTAGGCGAAACGTTTCGAAATTAAGATACCTAACTGTTGCATATGTGTCTTACCTAACAATCTGTCGGTATTTTATACCATTTTAATGTTCATTCTGTCAGACACTGCAACACAAGGGTATCTTGGTACAGACCATCAACTTCGACAACCTCTACTAGTGAGAACGGCTGGGTTTGAGAGGGACCTGCCCTCCCAAATCAACCTACGTCTCACCTCCTGGCACTATATAAGGCCCCATTCTGTCACTTCAACTTCATATTGTTTCAGACAACGGAACAATGCTCTTCTCCAGACTGAGGGACTGACCACCTCAAAACTTTAAGGGTGATGGACTGATTACATCGTCTTCAAGTATCTTCTGCTATCAACTTTTCTGTACTCGACTGAAGAAGCCTACTGTGTAGGCGAAACGTTTCGAAATAAAGATACCTAACTGTTGCATATGTGTCTTACCTAACAATCTGTCGGTATTTTATACCATTTTAATGTTCAGACTTTCTTTGGCCTAAGAGAAGCTGATGAATGGTACCCCAACCAACTGCCCAGAGCGCATTGCGACAAATGTCCTGGAGAAGAAAACAGCGAAAATTTGTCACTAATGCTTAAAGCTGAAGTAGAGCAAGCTGTTAACATTATGAAGGCCTGCTTAGAAATCTTTTACTTAATTTTGATGAATCGAAAAATTAAAAGCTAGCAGAAGCTGTACTCAATATAACCCGGTTATAGCAAAAAATTGTTACAGTAACACAAATAAATTCTTATGTAAAATAATTTATTACAATGTTTATTCATATTAAACAGTTTCCTTACGAAATTGCATGTTACACAAATAATCAAATGCAGTGTAATAATCTGAGAAAAATGGAGCTGCTTGTATATTCTACATCAAGACTTCATAAGACGGAATTATATAAAAAAGATTCGGGATGATGACACTTATTCTAAACTTGTGAATGTATTGCTGTAAATCCATCGTACTGTTACATAGATATTTCTCACCAATAAACAAGTTTCACTGTATGAATTATGTTATAGTTCGTTTGCTGGTGAAATTTCCTCACATATTTATTATTATAATTACGAGTTAGCGTTAACTTGTGAATGTTATACAGATCTTGTGAATGGAAGGTAATCAGTGCTGATCCGAAGAAAGGGAGGATAGCTCCATATCTTCAGATCAAGAGCCCTACCCAATCAAGAAACCTTTATAAAGGGACAATTTTTTTCGAATTTCAAGATTTTTTTTTTCACTTATTTACCTCCTCAACGGAGGCTCCTGGATACCGGTGAGGGGCTCTTGATCCACGGAACTGGACCTGCCCCCTCCTTCCTTGGATCGAACGTGAATGACTCTTTGCGCTGTATGACCTCTACGGGTTTAGCGCTCGCCATTCATGAAATACTGTATCACGTGACAAAATCCATATATAGGCACAAATATGTTAAATGAAGACGCCAGTAAATAAATATAATACAAGTTTTTCATTGTAACTATTATTCGAAACGTTTTCCAAGCTTTATTATGTTTCTCGAGATACTATTGAGTGTTTCATGCATGTTGGTCAGAGCAAAATAAACAAGATGGCGACCATGAACAGTCTACTATTCTATTGCTAATTATTATATTAGCTAATAAGTTTGTGAGGAAGTAGTGCAATTATATACACAGTATATAGCACGAGTGCTACAACGTAAGTAGTACGGAATGCTAGCTTGTTAAGGCTAAGAATAAATTAGCAGCTTGGTTTCATCAAAAATGATTAAGGACTACAAAATTGATTTAACTGTAGAATATAGAAAATATAGTCTATGCTGTATAAGTTAGTCATGGAAGAAAAGGGAGACCACCACGAAGGTTATGTATATTTTTATATACCCTTATATAACTTGTGACTCAAGCAGTAGCATCTTTGGTTTAAATCTGAAGGATCTAGGATTCACAGAGGCATAAGTGGTAACACTCAGCATGTTTCTTTGCACCTGTTGTCCATGTTCGCCTAGCAGTAAGTAGGCACCGGCATGTGCTGACAGCTATGGATCGCATCCTGGGGAGGGGCATTAAAGGACCCCAATGGAAATGAGTCAGACATACTCGCTGGGTTACTATCCCTTTAGATTATTAAGCCAAATAAAATCATATTTTTCTACCTACATAAACACAGATACTGCATTTTTTATTTATATATGCTTGAGTTTTATCTGCTGAATGCAGGCGAGTTCACTGACATTCATAAGTTGTTGACTGGTCAGGAGAAGCCTCCGATAATTTCCTACTGTCAAAGTTCTCCCATATATAAATTTAATAAAACTATTGGCAATCACTAACCTAACCTAAACTCATTTATTTTAAATATAAGAATGGAGGAGCACTGGGTCATGATTTGTGTGATTATGATATACCATAACCAGAACATTGTCTCATTATCATCATACTGTTGGTACATACAGTGGAACCTCGAGTTTCAAGCTTAATCTGCTCCAGGAGCTAGTTCTAAAGTCAAAATGTTCGAAAGTCGAAGCAATATTTCCCATAAGAAATAATGGAAATACAATTAATCCATTCCAGAAACCCAAAAATATTCACAAAAAAATAATTTTATTGAGATTACATTATAGTTTTACATACAACAAACATAGTACAATTAGTAATACATTAATAAAATTTAAATAAACATAAAATAACATTTTTACTTACCTTTATTGAAGATTGATGATGACATCTGGAAGCACATCTGGCAGCACTTATTGTTTGGAAGGGTAATCCCCTTCCATAAAGACTTTAGGTAACAAGTCCTTTTCTGGAATTACTTCCTTTCTTTGTCTTTTAATGCCACTAGGACCAGCTTGAGTGTCACTGGACCCCTGTCTCACAAAATAACTGTCCACAGTCCTCTGTTTCTGGTGCCTCTAAGATTTCCCTAAAATGGGACATGGTTCTGTCACTGAACTTGTTGCAAAGATGGCTTGTTTCAGCTTGCTCAGAGTGGTACTTCTCCATAAATGTTTGCACATCATTCCACTTGGCACACATCTCCTTAATGTTTGAAGAAGGCACCTAATCCACTCCCTCTTCCTCTTTCTCCTCCTCTGAAGCAAGTTCCTGAGCTGTGGTCTGATACTGTTCCAGATGAAGCTCATCCAGCTCTTCAGTGGTTAGCTCTTCCCTGTGGTCCTCCACCAACTCTTTCATATCCTCGCCACTCACCTCCAACCCCATGGACTTGCCCAGTGCCACAATACCTTCTACAACAGGCAGAGGGTCGGCAAGGTCAGGGTCAGCCTCAAACCCTCCCAAATCCCTCTGGACGACACATTGTGGCCACAATTGTCTCCAAGCAGAGTTCAAAGTACTGGAAGTCACTCCCTCCCAAGCCTTACCTATAAGGCTTATGCAGGTGTGGATACTGAAATGATTCCTCCAGAATTCTCTTAGGGTCAACTTAGTGTCTGAGGTCACTTCAAAGCACTCTTCAAACACTGCTTTTGTGTAGAGTTTTTTGAAGTTAGAAATGACCTGCTGATCCATGGGCTGGAGGAGAGGAGTGGTGTTAGGGGGCCAAGAACTTCACTGTGATGAAACTGTAGTCCCTAGACAGTAGGTCTACCAAGTCTGGAGGATGTGCAGGAGCATTGTCCAGTAACAGGAGGCACTGGAGTGGCAAACTATTTTCTAGGAGGTATTTTTTCACACTGGGGCCAAACACTTCATGGACCTACCGTTTGGAAATTTGCCTCGTGACCCTTGTCTTATTATTTGCTTTCCACAAGACGCATAACTTGTTGTTAATGACATTGTTTTTCTTAAACACACTGGGATTTTCTGAATGATACACCAGTAAAGGCTTCACTTTAAAATTCCCACTAGTGTTAGCACAGAACAAAAGAGTTAGCCTGTCTTTCATAGGCTTGTGTCCTGGGAGTGCCTTTTCCTCCTGATTAATGTAGGTCCTGTTTGGCATTTTCTTCCAAAACAGGCCTGTTTCATCACAATTGAACACTTATTGGGGGTTTGAATTTTTCAGGCTCTATGTACCCCTTAAAATCATTTACAAATTTTCAGCTGCCCGTTTGTGAACCATGCTTTACAACATTGTGTATGCCACTATGCTTCTTAAATCTGTCAAACCAGCCTCTGCTGGCCTTAAATTCACTATCAGCACTGGTTCCAAGAGTTTTCTTTACAAGATCAGCATGCAACTGCCCTGCCTTTTCACAAATAATTGTCTCAGAAATACTATCACCTGCCATAGCTTTATCCTTGATCCACACCAGCAACAACTTCTCAACATGATCGACTATCTGTGGTCTATTTTTGGTTATTTGGGTTATTTTGTGTAAATATTATGCAGAAAATTCGGAGTGTAGAAATTAGGAAAAGGTGTGGAGTTAATAAAAGTATTAGTCAGAGGGCAGAAGAGGGGTCGTTGAGGTGGTTTGGTCATTTAGAGAGAATGGATCAAAGTAGAATGACATGGAAAGCATATAAATCTATAGGGGAAGGAAGGTGGGGTTCGAGACGCGTCCATGTGTGGCCTGAGCACGCCTCAGTTGTCCCATGGGTGCCAGTGTTTACAAGCCAGCCAGTGCAGTCGCATCCATGCACACAATCGGAACATTTCATATTATCACAGCGTTTTTAGTGATTGTACCTGCAAAATAAGTCACCATGGGCCCCAAGAAAGCTTCTAGTGCCAACCCTGTGATAAAAAGGGTGAGAATTAGTATGGAAATTAAGAAAGATTTTGAAGGGTTTGGGGCTAACCTTGAGACTGCCTATGCCAGTTGTGGAATCCATTGTGCCTACTTCAAAGATTAAGGAAATGTGTGCAAAGTGGGTTGAACTGCAAACCTCTATGGATGAAAATCACCCTAACACAGCTATTGCAAGCCATGCTGGTGACTATTACAATGACAATGTTGTGGCCCATTTTAGGCAAATCTTAAAGGAACGGGAGGTACAGACCTCTATAGACAGATTTGTTGTGCAACAGAGGTCCAGTGACTCTCAAGCTGGTCCTAGTGGCATTAAAAGAAGAAGGGAAGTAACCCCGGAAAAGGACTTGATACCTCAAGTCCTAATGGAAGGGGATTCCCCTTCTAAACATTAACAACTTCCACACTCTCCCCTCCTCCCATCCCATCAATCATCACCAGATCTTCAATAAAGGTAAGTGTTAGTTTGTGTGTATTAAAATTAATATTTCACATGGTAAAATTTTTTTTTTCATACTTAGGGGTGTCTTGCACGGATTAATTTGATTTCCATTATTTCTTATGGGGAAAATTAATTCAGCTAACGATAATTTCAGCTAACGATGAGCTTTCAGGAACGGATTAATATTGTTAGCTGAGGGTCCACTGTACAGTGTATTCCACTTTACAGAAATAAAGTTTATTTGTTTGTTTTTGAGTCTAAGAGCCTATATGATGGTAGTACAATATATAGGCAGGAGAGGGAAACATTGTATATATTATAGTCCAGTGTAAACAGAGAGCAAAAGCATAGATAAACACAGGCGAGCAAACGCCTGACATTTTGCATGAAACCATTTCAGTCCTTGAGCTTATTCATGCCAAATATATATTTGTAATAAACAAGTATATATTTGAAGTGCACAAGATTTTATAATAAAAATGTTTAAATAATAAAATGTCCTAGGTGTAGAAATCTTCAAGGGAAAAAACTCAATCACTACCTCTGCCAAGTGTCAGATCAGCCAGGCTGTAATGGATATGTGGCCCTCAGCAGCAACAACCTGACTGACCAGGCAAGCACCAAAAAAAAAGTGGCCCCTACATCAGGCTGTGGAGTAGGAAGACTCCTGAAAGCAGTCACAGGTATATCACAATTGTGTGTATTTGCCCACAACTTTTCACCAATCTATTTTTATAGAAGGTTTTTCAACAGAAGCATAGAACAGAAGTGTACAGCAGCAGGCCTACTGCCTGCTGCTGTACACTTTGCTGTTTGCAAAGTATTTATTTTGAAGGTGTTCAGTTCCTTAGCCTTGATTATAAATAAAACATTCTCTTAAAGGTGTTAAGTCCTTAGCCTTTATATAAGTACTATAAACTGTAAAATATGTAAGATACCAAAACATTTGTACAGGAAACTGGTATACATCTGGTGTAGCCAGGGCCAGTAGGCCTCATGCAGTGCTTCTCTGTGAAGTTTGGGTTAGGTCAGGTTCCTTACAAATCTAATATTTTGGCTTTGTATTCCATGGTGTTCTTCATTACAATGCCTCCTTTTTTATTTTGGTTATGACGATGCTGTTGTCTACAGCATATTGCTTGAGAGCACACTAATTATTAAGGAGGCTAACAAATTTAAGAGAAAATGCTTGGAAATCCTTCTTATTTCAATATCCAACATGACCGTGCAAAACCAGGAAGTTTCCAGTTGGCCAAACCCTTGGCAGCACAGCTAGTGGACAAAGCCTATCATCAGGACCAACCTTCAATGCACAAATATCCTGCACATAGAGGAGCTCACGACAACGTTTTGGTCTGACTTGGACCATTTACCGAAACGTCGTCGTAAGCTCCTCTCTTCCATGTGCGGGTTATTTGTGTATTGTTCCAGTCACGGTATTGTGCTTTTTTTTTTTTGTTACCAACCTTCAAGTTTGAAGCTTTCACAGCTATAACACTGCTGCTGCTGCTGCACCTCACTTCTCCTTGCTCCTGCCTATATAATCTTTCTCCATGTAGTATATGCAACTGACTTGAAAAAGCCTGTTATATAGGCAAAATCTTGTCTAATGTTGACTATAACTGTAATTTGTGTCTATTATCAAATGTCAGTATGTATTAATGTACAGTACTATTATTTGTTATGGCTGGGCTGGGATAACAAAGAGAACTGCCCTTGTTACTTTTTCTAAATGCCATATAAGCTGTCCAAGGAACATATATTTCCTATATTCTCTTCACAGAGGAAGCAACAGAGCAACAGCAAAAAATTACTGACCATTAGCACTAACATCACATTATAAAAAAAAAATTGAAAGGCTTCTGACATACCAAATTACCGACACTGAAAAGCAGGAGCTACGCACTATGGCTTTAGAGCAGGAAGTGCTTGCTTATCACAACTGTTAGATCACTATGACAAAACTATGGAGGCCTTGGAAAGAAAATAAAACTGATGTAATCTACACAGATTTCACCAGGGTATTTAGTAAATACCCTGGTGAAAGATTAGAAAAATGGATAATTTTTACAAACAGATCACAGTGATAGTAAAAAGTCTTGTCTTAGCAAAATTAGAAGTTCAGTGCCCCAAGGCAATGCCCTAACACCATTATGGTTTTTATTCTCATAGGAGACCTAGACAAAAGCACTAATCACAGGTTCATATCATCTTTTGCATATGCTACCAAAATAAGTATGAAAGTCATCTCAGTAGAAGACAAAGAAAAACTAGCAAAAAGATAACATGGTCTTTCACTGAGCAAATGAAAATAGGATGATGTTCAGTGGTGCCAAATTTCAACTTTTTAGGTATGGGAAGTATGAAGATTTTCAAACAAACAGAATACAGGCAGACTATATCACAGAACATATGGAACACGTAAAAGACTTAGGAATAATTGTCAGAGGATGTCTTATTTGGAAAATATAAGGCAAATGCAGTAAAGGCCAGGAAAATGGCTGGTTTGATTACAAAAACTTTCAAAACACAAGAAACAAGGCAGAGCCAGAGGCTGAGACTACAAATAGTTGAGTGCAATAATGGTACTTTTCAAATTAGTTGTGCTCTCACAACTTAAATATTGTTCTGTGCTCACAGTGCCTTTCAAGGCATAAGAGATAGCAGAGATAGAAAATGTACAGAGGTCATATACTACCTGCACAGTCAATAAAATATCTAAATTATTGGAACGCTTCAGAGTATGAACTTGGATTTTTCTTTCTGAAATGGAGAAGCTAGAGATACTTGATATAATATACATGGAAGATAATACTTGAGGGCCTGGTCCCTAGCCTGTACACTGCTGTAACAACTTAATGGAGTGTAAGATACAGGAGAATGTGGATAAACCCAGTGAGGAGTAGGTGTCCAAGACTTCACACTACCAGCAAATATCAGAAATATTACCAGAATGAAGACATAACTTTTCAAGAAAGTGAACAGCTTCCTGTTGCAAGTGCCAGATCAGGCAGGTTATGAGGATTATGTGGACCTGCAGGCTGCTTATACAAACAACCTGGTTGATCAAGAAGTTAACAGGAAACCTAGACCTCATGCTAGGTTGCAAGAGTAAAAGAGCCCTCAAAACCAGTCACAGGTAAAGCACAGGCAAGTGGTCAACATTATCTAATATGTAATATTAATACAATAGTAAATATCCTGATGTCATTTAATTTTCCTTGTGTTGCTATACCACTCAAACCTCTCCATACTAAAACACCATTACTTTTGACAGTTTTGTTCATTTAACTCAATTAGGTAAGTCATGTCTTCAAGTATCATTTGAACCTAAGTTCTGTACAAAATATAGGTAAATCTAAATATACTAGACTTGAATCAGGTCAAATGACATGCACATTACAGTATTTCCTCCAAAAAGAGCTTAAGCAATGTAATGATTAGTCTGCTGTATGACAGGCTGTGTAACACTTTGGGTAAATTATAGAAAAATAATCTGGAACTTTTTTCCTTAACATTTCAAGTTAGTCAAAGAATTATCTTTTCACCCACTTTAAGAAATTGGTTGAAAAAGATAATTCTTTTACAGTGTTTCCATAAATACCCAGTAGGGAAGATTCCGTAAGTGAAGTAAAACTATAGCTCACTGACGTGATTTTGTACAGAATAACTTTACATCTTTTAAAAAATAATAATCCTGTTTCTGACAAGCAGAGCTTAACATTTTAGGTGTAAGTGAGACAGTTTATCCCTCATCTTGATGCTAAGAGTGCAAGAATGGACAACGGGAGTCAAACATCACCCTCAAGCAAGCAAGTGTGCAAAAGAACACAGTATGAAGATCCCTTTGCCCTACACTCCCTCCTCTCTACATCAGGTTTGAATTTTAATTTCTTTTGGCTATAAATACCAAACTGAGAATATTAATTTACTAAAAATGAAGGATATTTTTTGCTGAGAGAGGAAAAAGTTGTGCTCAGTGGTGTTACTGAGCCCATAAAGAGTTAAGGCAGCAACATCACTGGCTTACCAGTGTTTGACTATGGTCTGCATCTTAATATAGAATGTATTCCATATTTTTTAAAAAATATAAATGTAATATCGGTAAATGTGTCTTGAAGATTTGACATTGAGGAGAGTAGGGCACTATCACTTATACTGTACTTAAAAGATAAAGGTTAAATTTCTTACAAATCTTGATTCATGGCCATCCTGGACCAGATGATTTGCAACAATACTACAGTATTTGAAACAATATTACTCTATTTGTAATCAAAATTAATAATTAAACTAGAGTACATTAAAAAAATGTTCAAGTGAATATTACAGTCAAATAGAAACATACAATGGTTATTTAATTTTAATTGCAGGAAGCCTTTTGGATAGCGAAAACTCCCTTTTCCTGGGGCCACTGATGCCACCCTTACGAAGCATTGAAGATCAATGCGAAGGTAGTAATCCTCGTACTGGAAGTGGACGAGGAGGAGGAGGAATCCTACAGCCTTCAAGTGCACCCACATCTCCTCAGCACAGACACAACAGTGTCACTTCTCCCCCTCCACTCTCTCCTGTTCCTCTTGGGGCCTCTGTTGCCTCCACATCATCGGACCCAAACTTCCATGCAACCAGCCTTCGAGAGAGAAATGCTGCAATGCTTAACAATGAACTCATGGCCGATGTTCATTTTGTTGTTGGGCAACCAGGTATGACATTAAAATAGTGCCTGACTAGCTCTAAATATTCCTTAAAAGGAAAAGTCATTTTTTCTTAATTAAAAATTTAATTTTTTTTTTATTAACACATTGGCTGTTTCCCACCAAGGCAGGGTGGCCCGAAAAAAGAAAAAAATTCATCACCATTCACTCCATCACTGTCTTGCCAGAAGCATGCTTACATTACAGTTATAAAACTGCAACATTAACACTCCTTCAGAGTGCCGGCACTGTACTTCCCATCTCCAGGAATCTCCTGCCAATTTCCCTGAATCCCTTCATAAATGTTACCTTGCTTACACTCCAACAGCACATCAAGTCCTAAAAACCACTTGTCTCCAAATGCTCATATCTAACATGCTCACACACACCTGCTGGAAGCTCAAGCCCCTCACACACAAAACCTCCTTTACCTCCCTCCCTCCAACTTTTCCTAGGCTGACCCCTACCCGCCTTTCCCTGCACTACAGATTTATACACTCTCGAAGTCATTCTATTTTGTTCCATCATCTCTACATGTCCAGACCATCTCAATGACCCCTCTTCAGCCCTCTGGATAATAGTTTTGGTAATACCACACCTCCTCCTAATCTCCAAACTATGGATTCTCTGCATTATATTCACACCACACACTGCCCTCCGACATGACATCTTCACTGCCTCCAGCCTTCTTGTTACAACATTCACCACCCATGCCTCACACCCCTACAAGAGCATTATTATAACTATTCTCTCATACATTCCCCTCTTTGCTTTCATGGATAAAGTTCTTTGTCTCCACAGACTCCTCAGTGCACCACTCACCTTTTTCTCCTCGTCAGTTCTATGATTCACCTCATCTTTCATAGACCCATCTGCTGACACGTCCACTCCCAAATATCTGAATACATTCCCCTCCAAGAGATGTATGGCGAAATGACAGTAGTCTGTTGGACTACGTATTAGTAGATAAAAGACTGTTGGGTAGACTTCAGGATGTACATGTTTGTAGAGGGGCTACAGATATGTCAGATCACTTTTTAGTTGTAGCTACAGTGAGAGTAAAAGGTAGATGGGATACAAGGAGAATGGAAACAGCAAGTAAGAGAGAAGTGAAGATTTATAAACTAAAGGAGGAGGCAATTAGGGTAAGATATAAACAACTGTTGGAGGACAGATGGGCTAGTGAGTATAGGCAATGGGGTAGAAGATGTATGGGGTAAGTTTAAGAATATAGTTTGTGGTTATAGGAAAGTGGGTGCAGGAGGGAAGAAGAGTGATTGGTGGAATGATGTAGAGAGAGTAGCAAGAGAGAAAAAGTTAGCATATGAGAGGTTTTTACAAAGTAGAGGTGATGCAAGGAGGGAGGAGTATATGGAGAGAAAAAGAGAGGTTAAGAGAGTGGTGAAGCAATGTAAAAAGAGAGCAAATAAGAGGGTGGGTGAGATATCAGCAAATTTTGTTGAAAATAAGAAAAAGGTTTTGGAGTGAGATTAATAAGTTGAGAAAGCCTAGGGAAAGAATGGATTTGTTAGTTAAAAACAGGAGAGGAGAGTTATTAAATGGAAAGTTGGAGGTATCGGGAAGATGGAGGGAATATTTTGAGGAATTGTTAAATGTTGATGAAGATAGGGAAGCTGTGATTTTGTGTATAGGGCAAGGAGGAGTAACATCTTATAGGAGTGAGGAAGAACCAGTTGTGAGTGTGGGGGAGGTGTGTGGGGCAGTGAGTAGAATGAAAGGGGGTAAAGCAGCTAGGATTGATGGGATAAAGATAGAAATGTTAAAGGCAGGTGGGGGATATAGTTTTGGAGTGGTTAGTGTTTTTATTTAACCCCTTGACTGTCTAAACCCCAAATCCTGAGATGTCTCCTGGTGTTGAAAAATTTTCAAAAAAAAAAAAAAAAATAATAATAATGAAATGATAGAGAATCTTTTCCCGATGGTAATGACACCAAAAGAACAAAATTTGATGGAAAACTTATGGAATTACGCTGTCGTGAAGTTAATGACCTCGGCGTTATTTATGAATCGGCGATTTCGCCCACTTTGAGCCCTATTTTCGGCTAATTCCATTGTTCCAGTTGACCAAACTTATAGCTATTTCTTTAGAACTCCATTTGTTCTATCGAGTGGGTACAAGAAACTGCCCATTTACCGATTTCAACTACCCAATAATGTGGTCAGAAATTTGCAATTTGGCCAATTTCACGCAAATTAAAAAATATGCTGATTTCAAAATAGGGTTCAGAATGAGCAATGCAGACATTCCTGGCTCTAAAATAACATTTTCTTTGTTTATCAGTTACGTCTTCCAGGCCCCTTTGATATTACTCTTGCTTTCTATTTTGAATTTTTATTCAAACAAAAAATAGAAGATTTACTGTTATGCAGACTACTGCAATATTGTAATAATTGTATAAATAACGTCAACCCATTCGTGGCTGCATATTAGAATGGCTAGTTGGACATTTATTGGACAAAGACATTTGTTTACTTTTGAACATCAGCAAAAATCAAACATTTCCCCTACTTTGAGCTCCATTTCGAGGTTCTTTTCATAGTAAAACCAATCAAAATCACCTCTATTTCTGTGTTTTCCATTCTATCAAATGAGACCAAGAAAATGAGAATACAACCATAAATACTATACAAAAAAATACACCACAAATTTGGAGTTTTAATCCAAAAAAACGGTCGGAGTTTTTTTTTTCTCATTATGCACTGCATGCTGCAGGATTTTTTTATATGGTGCACACTGACCACACAGACCCATTCTCTCACATGTGGGCCTACCAGCTTTCTCCTGCTTGATTTGAAGCCGTTAGAATTTTTGAGTATACAGTACGTATATACGTCAAACACGGTGGCTCGTAAGATGTATATATACGACCGAAACAGAGGGTTAATAAATGTATGGAAGAGGGTAAGGTACCTAGGGACTGGCAGAGAGCATGCATAGTTCCTTTGTATAAAGGCAAAGGGGACAAAAGAGAGTGCAAAAATTATAGGGGAATAAGTGTGTTGAGCATACCTGGTACAGTGTATGGTGGAATTTTTATTGAAAGAAGAGTAAGATGGAGAGTAGGATAGCAGATGAACAAGGAGGCTTTAGGAAAAGTAGGGGGTGTGTAGACCAAGTGTTTACTGTGGAACATATAGGTGAACAGTATTTAGATAAAGAGGTTTTTGTGGCATTTATAGATTTGGAAAAGGCATATGACAGTGTGGATAGGGGGGCAATGTGGCAGATGTTGCAAATGTATGGAGTAGGAGGTAGGTTATTGAAAGTGGTGAAAGGTTTTTACGAGGATAGCGAGGCTCAGGTTAGAGTATGTATGTGAGGGAGATTATTTCCCAGTAAAAGTAGGCCTTAGACAGGGATGTGTGATATCACCATGGTTATTCAATATATTTATAGATGGAGTTGTAAGTCTCTTACAACTCCATGTGCGGGTGTTGGCAAGAGGTGTGGGATTAAAAGATAAAGAATCTAACACAAATTGGGAGTTTTCACAGTTGCTCTTTGCTGATTACATTGCACTTTTGGGGGATTCTGAAGAGAAGTTACAGAGGTTGGTTGATGAGTTTGGTAGGGTATGTAAAAGAAAAGTGAATATAGGAAAGAGTAAGGTGATGAGGACAACAAAAAAATAAGGTAACGGAAGATTGGATATCAGATTGGAGGGAGAGAGTATGGAGGAGGTGAATGTGTTCAGATATTTGGGAGTGGATGTGTCAGCAGATGGGTCTATGAAGGATGAGGTGAATCATACAATTAACGAGGGGAAAAAGGTGAGTGGTGCGCCAAGGAGTCTGTGGGGACAAAAAACCTTATCCATGAAAGCAAAGGGTGGAATGTACGAGAGTATAGTTATACCAACGCTCTGGTATGGGTGTGAGGCATGGGTTGTGATGCTGCAACAAGGAGAAGGCTGGAGGCAGTGGAGATGTCATGTCTGAGTGAAATGTGTAGTGTGAATATAATGCAGAGAATTCGTAGTTTGGAGATTAGGAGGAAGTATGGGATTACCAAAACTATTATATAGAGGGCTGAGGAAGGGTTATTGAGGTGGTTTTGGACATGCAGAGAGGATGGAACGAAATTGAATGACTTTGAGAGTGTATAAATCTGTAGTGGAAGGAAGGCAGGATAGGGGTTGGCCAATGAAAGGTTGGAGGGAGGGGGTAAAGGTTTTGTGCGTGAGAGGCTTGGACTTCCAGCAAGCTTGCGTGAGCGTGTTAGACAGGAGCGAATGGAGACAAATGGTTTTAGGACTTGACGTGCTGTTAGCGTGTAAGCAAGGTAACATTTATGAAGGAATTCAGGGAAAACAGCAGGGCGGACTTGATTCCTGGAGAAGGGAAGTACAGTGTTGGCACTCTGGATGGGTGTTAGTGTTGCAGTTTTATAACTGTAGTGTAAGCATGCCTCTGGCAAGACAGTGACGGACTGGGTGATGATGAAAGTTTTTTTTTTTTTTTTTGGGGGGGGGGGGGGGGCTACCCTGCCTTGATGGGAAATGGCTGATGTGTTAATAGAAAAAAAAAATAATCACCTCCATACTCTCTCCCTCCAATCTGATATCCAAGCTTCCGTTACCTAATTTTTTTTTATCCTCATCACCTTACTCTTTCCTATATTCACTTTTAATTTCCTTATTTTACATGCCCTACCAAACTCATCAACCAACCTCTGCAACTTTCACCCTTTCACACACTCCTATGTAGATCTACATTACTGACATCAATGTAGCTCAGGTAGATCTAGGTTGCAAGTACAGCACCCTCAGTTATGCTGTGAGTGGTAAATTTTGGGCTAGGTTCGAAAGAATGGATCTGTGCAGCAAGTGTGCACAGTATAAAAAAATCTTACATCGTGTAGTGCATAATGAGAAAAAGCAGACGTTTGTCTGACCTTAAGTTTGGCTTAAAACAGTGACTTTAAGGTGTCTTCTAATGGTTTGTATGGTTGTACTGACAGTTTCTTGGTATTAATTGATAGAATGGAA